GAGGCCCACAACAACCAAAACCATATTAAAAAACAAACAAAAACCCCAACAAAGTTGGAAAACCCACATATTCTGACTTCAAAACTTCTTACAAAACTACAGTAATCAGAATGGTACTAGTATAAAAGTGAAAGTGAAAGTTACTCAGTCATGTCCGACTTTTTGAGGCCCCATGGACTATACAGTCCAAGGAATTCTCCAGGCTAGAATACTGGAGTGGGTAGCCTTTCCCTTCTCCAGGGGCTCTCCCCAACCCAGGTATCAGACCCAGGTCTCCTGCATTGCAGGTGGACTCTTTACCAGCTGAGCCACAAGGGAAGCCCTAGCCTAAGGACAAATGTAAAGACCAATGGAACAGAACTGAGTCCAGAGAGAAAGCGAACCATATACAACCAACTGATTTTCAACGATGATGCTACAGTTACTTCACGGCAGGGGAAGAACAGTCTCTTCAACAAATGGTGCTCAGACAACTGAAAGATCATATGGAAAAGAATGAAGTTAGACCCTAACTCATCCCACACACAAAAATTAACTCAAAATGTGTCGTCCCCAGCCACCATTGAACAAGCCGCACTTCGCCTTCCTATGCACTTCTCATGCCAAATGAGAGTGCTTCTCTTGGTGAACTAGTGTCATCTTTCCCTTATTTCTGTACCCCTGCTGTCTGAAACGGCCCCAGGCACAGTGCCAAAGTACTGTCCAGGGGTCCCAATCCCAGGAGAGCTGTGAGGTGCCTTCCAGAGAAAATATGTCTGCCAGACAAGCTTAGTGCCAGCGTGAATGACGGTGCTGTGAGTCCACTGTTAACAGTCAACAATGTAACAGTGAATAAGGAGCCATCAAACAGAAACGCCCAGAAAACAAGGCTATGTGTCCCTCTGCTGACAAAACCGTGACCAGAGGCTCACAGGAACTTAACCTCTAGGCCCCTTGCAGCAAAGGTTCAGTTTTCAGTGTTCCTGGTAACTTTACGTAACTATTTTGAGGAAGGAGAATTGACTGTATATATGTGTGGAGGTGTGGGGGTGTGTGTTGAAACAATGGAATATTATTCAGCCATAAAAAGCAATGAAGCACTGACACACAGCACAACTTGGTGAACCCTGAGAACATGAAGCTCAGGGAAAGAAGCCACACACAAAAGGCTGCGTGTTGTGTCATTCCTTCTGCATGAAATGTCCACAACAGGCAAATCCAGAGACACAAAGCAGGTCAGAGGCTGCCAGAAGATGAGAGTGGGGATGGGGAGACAAAACATTTGACATTAGAGAGGCTGCGTAACATCACAAATGCACTAAATTCTGCTGAATTATACACTTTAAAATGCTTAACTGCACAGGATGTGAATTTCACCTCAGTAAAAATTTTATTTTACAACTGTCATATCATAGGAAAACATTTGGCCTTTGACCCCAGTTCCTGATCTTGGAAGTCGCTCAGTTGTGTCCAGTTCTTTGCGACCCCATGGACTATACAGCCCATGGAATTCTCTAGGCCAGAATACTGGAGTGGGTAGCCTTTCCCTTCTCCGGGGGATCTTCCCAACCCAGGGATCAAACCCAGGTCTCCCAAATTTCAGGCAGATTCTGTACCTGATCTTGGAATCTCCTGAGCAATGGGGTACAGGAGGGTCCTGTGCTCTATGAGGTAGCTCCAGGTGGGCCCCTAGGTGGCTTAGGATGGGGCTGGTCCCCAGAAAGACCAAGTCTTGACGAGAAGCTCATCCCCTGTCCTGACCTCCAAGCTCCAGGGCAGGGGAAGGTGGAGACTGAGTTAGTCAGCAATGGCCAGTGACTGACTCATGCCTTCTTAACAAAGCTTCCATAAAACCCTAAACATGGGGTTCTGAGCCCTCAGGGAGAGCAGGCGAGCGTGCAGGTGCAGGTATGGTGGGGGGGGAAGGACCTGGAAGTTCTGCCCCAACCTACACCAGGCCCCGCCTCTCTCCCAGCTAGCTGCTTCTGACCTGCATCCCACATACTAAACCCAAAACAGGAAGTAAAATGTCGATCAGAGTTCTGTGAGCTGTTTCACCTCAGGCTCTCAGAGCCTGAGGGGGCTGTGGAAAACCCTGATTTACAGCTGGTCCATCAGAAGCACAGGAGGCGCCGATCACAGGGTACACCGTGGGGCTGAGCCCTGACCTGAGGATCTGTGCTAATTTGATGGCTACTGGCAGAGAGAGCTAAGCTCCTGGACACCTGGACGGGGTCTGGAGAACCAGAGCCAGAGGAGAGGTGCTGGGAAGGATGCTGCATTTGGCATTAAAAGCAAGTGATTAGAAACAGCTCAGTGATGCCCAGAAGAACTTTTAAGTCAGAAGAACCCAACCCCACCCCTCTTTTTTCCACCCAGGCTTTGGGGAAAGGAGTGGTTTATCTGTATAAGAACATCCTGCCAACAGGTCAAACAGAATGTGGCCTCAGATAAGTGCTAGTGCCAAACACCACGGAACCCAGAATTCCACTGTTCCCCAGCAGGTGCCATGGCCAGGGGCAGATGCAGCCAGAATGCCTCAGGCTCACACAAAAAAACGTCCTGCGTCTGAGAGAGAGCCCTCCCGTCACCTTCCTTCATCTCTGGGGCCTCAACTCCTGGGGCCTAAGGCCGTAGGGACTGCCTGCTCCGTTCACCCCTCGTGCCCAGGCTGACCCTGCAGTGACACCAGCGATGAAGCACTCACTCCGTGCTGGGACCAGACCACATGCCCACCCTTCTGTCTCTCCTAGTCTTCCCAACAGCCGGAGAAGCAGACACAACTGAAATCTATCTCGTAGACAGAGAGACGGGTCCAGAGAAGTGGCTTGTCCACAGCTGCTCCTCATTGCTTAGCACAGCAATGATCAGCTCACCTAACTGATGACTGAACGGTGAGGAGGGCTAAACTCCAATGGCAGCTCTTGCCTACGTGGGTGGGGTGGGGGTGGGAGAAGCCACTAGCAGGTCCTCCCCAGATGGCCCTACATCACGCACATCCCACATCTGCAGCAGCTGCTTCTGCCATAAACCCGCCCTTGCTTTTCCACATTTGTCTGGGCTCTACTAACCTCCAAAGGGACCCACATTTAGACAACACTTGTAGAAGCAAGCAAACAGCAGAATTCACGAATGGCCATCATCCTGGGTCACATCCGTTTTGCGTACGTGTATGTGAACACAAGCTCTGCCAGTCCAAGTGAGCCCCCATGATCACGGTGCAGCCCAGCCCATGTGACTGGGCGTCTAGGCGCTCCCGCACGCAGGCTGGGGATGTGACTGCCCTCTGGGGCCTGGCCAAGTACTCAGTAATAAGCATCACCCAGCAGAGTGCGAGGTGCACCCAATGAGACCTGTGACCCACATCCCAGTCCCTCTCCAGGTGGTCTCACAGTGCAGGGCTGCCCACTACAGCCCTAAGGGCAAAGCCACCACCGGGAGCAGAGGATTCTAGTCATGGGACACAGGGCACAGGAGAGCACCTAGCACTCATCTCGAGAACGGGCTCACAGCTCCACGCCGGCCCCAGTTCCCAGCGCTGCAGATACGGAGGTATCCATGCACATCGCTTTCTCCAGATGCACTTGCTCTATCTCCCTAGCCATCCAGAGGGGTTCTGATCAACATTTCATTTGCACAGCCTCCCCGTGGGGCAGGAGGGCTGGACACATACCTGCTGGGGACTCACCCCAGCCCTGGCCCTCCTCCACACTCCCCAAGCGGCAGGAGGCCTCCTGGGGTCTGGCTCCCTAAGCCACGGGGTGCCAACGCCCCTGGGGGCACAGTGCCCCTCCTGTGCCTGTGCAGACAGGTTGGGCTCTCCTCTCATCAGCGGCCAGTCACCTTGACGCCCAGAAAATCAGGGTGACCTGCAGCCCCACCATCAAATCCCATACCCACTGAAATGTTCCTCAGTGCACCCGAGCTCTGCCCCTGACACCAGGGATTCTCAGAGGAAGCGGCTTGTCAAGTGAGCGGTGGCACCCACGGGCCCCCCAGGATGTCATCCCCCCTGAGAGGTGGCAGAGCTGCCCACAGCCAGTCCAGCTGCATGCATGGAGAAGCATCCAGCCAGCAGGCATTCAGAGTCAGGTAAAGTCACCACTGCCGGCTGGCCATACCTGTGAGAAGCAACAGAGGCTCACGGCCAGCAGACAGTGGTTAAATGCTGGGTACTGGGCTTCAGAAAAAAAGCTCTGGTCTGAACTGTGTCCCCAGTTTCTACGCTGACTCCCACGCCCCTCGTGATGGTGCTGGGGACACAAGGATGGAGCCCTCGGAATGGGATTAGTGCTTCCACAGACTGCTCGTGCTTCCCCACAGGAGGGCACAGCAAGAGGAGTATGTGACCTGGAGCACGGCCCTTCCCTGACCATGCTGGCGCCTAGTCCCGGACCTCCAGCTGCTGGAACGCTAAGCAAACAACTTCTGGTGTTTCTGAGCCGCCCTGTCTGTGACATTGTATTATCACAGCCTGAACACTGAGATGATTTCTATTTTTTTCCACTTTAAGCACACAGAGGATACTACAGAGAGAACACCCTCCTGTGATCCTACCACCCGGATTACCTTTACCATCTTTCACACATATGATTCCTTTTTTCTATAAATACCATACACACAACTTGCTTTTCTCATTCAACAATGCTTAAAGCTCTCTCCCCCAAGGCCGTCAACAGTTCTGGTTCAGAAGATGCACAAGCACCTCCAACCAAAAGCCTACGCTGAACGTCCAGGTACCTTCCAGATCTTCCCCTCTCCTCCCACAGTGACTGTCCAAGGACTCTGGCCTCACCCCAGCATGTGACGGCTGAGCCAGGGACCCTGCCACTTCCAGCATGACTGACGGGGCCATGGCTTGCTGCTCCCCAGCTTGCCAGCTCCCCAGTCGACCGCCATGGAGAGACGGTTGTGCCTCTACCGCGGGCGCCTGACATGGAGTCTCTGTTACATGTATCACCATCCACCCTGCGGCGCGTGCGCTGCTGGTCCCCTCACCTCACCACTCCCCAGGACCCTACCTTGTTCTTGAAGTACACCTCGATGGGCATGATGAAGCCAGCATACCCCGACTCCTCCACCTTGTAGGGGGGCTCCTTGCATACTGAAAAGAAACAGATGACGTGCCATCAGCTCCTGGCAGCAGGAAGCACATGCATTCTGCCTCCTCTCTGGGCCCAGTGGGCTCTGCAGGAGGCTGACTCCCCAGGAGCGGAGATCCCAGGCCTGGGCCACATCAGAGGGGTCACAGGGGAGAGAAGAAGCAGAGCAGGAGAAAGGGGACCCCCGCCACCCTGGGGTGGGAGAGTGTGCGGGAAGAGGCCGGAGACCAGCTAAGGCAGAGTAGCTGGCGCTGGCCACAGGGCGCATGGGTTCAAGACTGAGAGCAGCAAGTGAGGCTTGGCTGAGATGCCAGACCTGGGGAGCTCTGGTCTCCCTGCGGGGCAGGCTCTCTGCTGTGCCCACCTCCTGCCATCACCCATGTGAGCATGTGACTTGGGGCCCTGCTCGGGGCCAGGGACACGGACATTAGCAGATGGAGGTGACCCGGTCTAAGACGGGGCTTGCTGCCTGGGTTCCACTGCAGCACCTAACCACAGCATCCCTAGGGACCACAGCAACCCCAGGGAAGAGGGAGAGAGGGAGGGAGGGAGAGAGAGAACCCAAGAAGAACAGCAGAACAGAGGTAAAACAATCTCTCAATCTCAGTCTCCAGGATGCACTGTCAGTGTTCTGACATGTATGCTGTCACTCTGGGAGTAATGGGAAAACACTGCTCTCCTGCTTTTAGGAAAAACAGAAGAGTACAGATCCACCCCTCATGTCTTCCACCCCACCTTCTCCCGTGGCAACCAAGAGGTAGGAAAACCCTGCCACCTGTTAACACCTTACACACGTGTGTCTGGACTGTAACTCTTAAATGAGCCACAAATGGCTGGAACATAATGACAGGCCAGCACCTTGCACGTGGCTGGCACATGGGGTATGAGACTTGCTCAGCTGGCCTGACTTCCCACCAGGGCCGAGGGGGCAGTCATGACCTGGCCATAGGACCCACCGCAGCAGAGCCTCCTGGGGGCACCAGTGGCCAACTCCTCAGCTGAGCACCAGCAGCGCTGTCACCTGACCTCGGGGCATGAACGTGAGTCATTACTGCCACCAAATGCTACATTCACTCATTATCCACGTCTGTGGTGTCGGGTGCCCAGATGGTGACAGAAGCCAAGGTCCCCAGGAGGGAGCAGGTCACCTTCAGTGGGACAGTCAGCCCACCCGGAAGTGACAAGAGTCAGGGACAGTCAGCCCACCCGGAAGTCAGGAGTTGCCCTGCCCAGGGGACAACAGGCAGGGGACTCTGTGGGGGTGACCTCAGGCCCAATCCCTATTCCAACAGGTCTCCTGCTCTTTGGTCATCCTCTGTGGGTGCTGGCTGGGCACATCACATGCAGCCCACCCCAGACCACTTTCTCATTCCCTCAGAAACCTGCACCGCCTGGCATCTCACAGCTCAAGATCCAGGCTGTCCCGTGCTCCCCCAAGGCCACCTTAGCTTCTCCCAAAGAACGTGGGAAAAGGAAAGAAAAAAACAAAGTCAATGAGTCAATTCAGCTCAACAAATGAAAACAAGGTACTTTCAAAAATGAAAATTAGAGAGTAAGAAAGGGCTCTTAGACATTACAAATACAGTATTTACAATGGTTTAATTCAACAGAAAGACCAGAAAATAGTCAAAGGAATTTCCCAGAATGTAGGGATAAGAAAAAAAATTTTTTAAGAAAGGTGAGAGGTGCAAAAGCAACCCTGTGGATTAAACACATGTCAAAAGCAGCTAATATTCATAAAGCACCTATTGTGTGCCAGGCAGTATTCCCAGAATCTTATACCATCAACTCTCAACAACACTGTGAGCCAAATGCACTTGTTCCCATTTTACAGATGAGAAAACTTAAACATAGAGAATTTACATAACAAGCATTCTAGAAAGAGAAAACAGAAATTAAACAAATGGAAAGAAATTGTCAGAGAAATAGAAGAGAACCTTCCAGAGCTAAAATGAAGGGCACCAAATATCCAACATGTTGAACAAATGAACCAAAAAAGATTCAATATGATAAACAAACAAACCAAAAAAGTCCCGAGAAAGGTCATAAAAACCATCTTAAGTCCTTCTAGAGAGAAAACAAAAACACTAAAAAACACATCACTTGCAACAGAACGAGAAACCAATAGCATCAGATTCCTCAGAAGATGACAAAGCAACACGTTCAAAGCTCTGAGTGACAGTCATTCTCTAACCGGAACATTATACCCAGCTCAACTACCACTCAAGCGTGGGGCCAGAATAGGGCACTCTAGATAAACTAAGACTTTATTCCCTACACACCTTTCTTCAGAAATTGCTTCAGTGATTAGTCTCTTAGGAAACTTCTTGACAAATTACTCCAGTAAAACAGGAAAATGAACCAAAACACAGGGTGTTAGGTGAATCCCTGAGGAGAAAAGTAAAGTAAATCCCAGTGTGATGGCTAATGAGGTGGTCTGGAGAGGAGCCAGTTCTAATTAGAAGAGGAAGAGGCTGGAATGAAATATCCAGAGGAAGCGGGGAGTCTCCACTGAATAAATGAAATGATGGGGGTATGGAGAAAAAGGCAAAGCACCTCTGATGAAAAACACAAATGCAGGGATGGGGAGGAAGAAGCAAAAGGTATTCATAAAGCCACAGGCCAAATATGAAGCCAAGTAAATGGGGCCAAATTTCTTTTTTCTTTTTTTGGCTGAGCTGGATCTTTACTGCAGCATGAGGGCTTCTCTCCAGTTGTGCACTCAGGGCCTCTGTGGTTGTGGCACATGGCCTCTCCAGTTGCTGCATGCGTGCCTAACTGCCCCATGGCATGTGGGATCTTAAGCTTCCCTGGTGGTTCAGCAGTAAAGAATTTGCCTGCAGTGCAGGAGATGTGAGAGACATGGGTTCGATCCCTGGGTTGGGAGGATCCCTGAGAGAAGGAACTGGCATCCCACTCCAGTATTCTTGCCTGGGAAATCCCGTGGACAGAGGAGCCTGGCAGGTTACAGTCTATGGGGTTGCAAAGAGTCAGAAAGGACTTAGCAAATAATTAACAACAATGTGAGATCTTAGTTCCCAAATCAAGGATCAAACCCACGTCCCCTGTACTGGCAGGTGAATTCTTAACCCCTGGACCAGCAGGGAAGTCCCAAAACGGGGCCAAGTTTTAAGCAAGGATGACAAAAAAGATCCCATCTGACCTTGGCGTGACCTTGAGCATTCTCCTTGGAGCAAGTGACTCAGAGTTCAGAGAGAACCAGCCTGACAGTGGAGGGCATCAATACAGTCAGTGACCCTCACAGTTACTGACTTCTAGACTTACTCTCTAACCTGGAGCGGAACAACCTTAACCAAGTTGAGTGTAGCTCCCAGCAGGGGCATAAGGGTCAAGGAAGACAGGCTGCTCCTGCCCTTCTCTTCCTAAGTGGAAAGTCAGGAGACCCTGGCCACAGCCAACAGCTTTGGAGAACCCATCCTTTCAGCCCCAGGGATACAGCAGCAAACTGTGGCCAAATGCAAACCCCTCGCTTGGTGGGGATGTGAGAGGGCAAAGCTTAGGAAATAGTCTGAGCTTTCATGTTAGAAAGTTAAACAAATTTTTTTAAAGTGAAAAACCTAGAAATAAGAAGTAAATTCACTTCTACCACTTTAAAGTGGTAAGGAAGGGACACAACCCAGAAAGGACTAGAAGGCTGCCCCTGGGGTGGGACCACCATGATGAGTTGGGAGGTGGAGATGCCCACCAGGTACATCCCTGCTGGGTCTCTGTGGGGTGTATACTCTGACTTAAAAGATACTTTTTAAGCACATAAAGTATAACTTCAGAGGCTGGAGTCCTGTAAGGAATTCACTGGCTGCTTCACCTTATGTTTTTCCCTGATCACTAAACAAATGGCAAACAGGCATCTGCCATCTAATTCACGTGATGCAGGGTGGCTCAGTGGTAAAGAATCCACCTGCCAATGCAGAAGACATGGGTTCGATTCCTGGGTCGGGAAGATCCCCTGGAGAAGGAAACGGCAACCCACTCCAGTCGTCTTGCCTGGGAAACCCCATGGACGGAGGAGCCTGGGGGGCTACAGTCCATGGGGCTGCAGAGTGTCGGTCACCACTTAAGTGACACAACCACTACTACCACATGATGCAGCTGCCCTCTACACAGAGGCTGCACCAATAGGCTTTGCAAACAAGGACAGTTCAGCTACTCAACTCTGACTGCAAACTGCCTCTGCAAAACAGTATGCTTCACCCAAAACCCATTTTTCAGACACTGGGAGCTTGGAGAATGTGCCCCTTCCACGTGACCACAAACAGGTGACTAGGCCTCTTGGGACCTCAGTTTCCACACTGAGACATGGAAGGGAATCCTGGGCACCACCACCCCTGCCAACATCAGAGTCTCTGCGAGTGGATGGGAATCACCACTGGGAGAGAAGGGGACTGGACGGGAGAGGGAAAGCAGGCACCCGGCCAGAAGGAGACAACCCGGCTTCTGCTATTTCATGACACAGTCAGTGACCATGGAATGAACGGGAGTGACCAAGCGCCAATCGAAACAGGCAGACCCTGCCCACGGTGCACGGACCCCTGCTTTAAAGCTCGGGCAGCTTATCGAGACCCCTGAGCCTGCTTCCCCTTCCGTAAAAAGAGGGCCGTGGGGCAAAGAAAAAGAGCTCATGGGCACAACGCATCTGATAAGTGACATGCAGTGTTATTATTGTTACCCGGTGCTTTACATCATTGTTACTACTACTACCAGGTGCTTCCCAAGTATCTGCTGTTATCAGGACTCCGATCTGCTCTCTCCAAGAGGCTGAGAGAGGGAAGAAGGAAGAGAAGTGAAAAGTCAGGAAGGAGAAATGAAGGAAAGGAAGAGCTGAAAGCTGATGGAAGAATCCAGAAGCAAGAACAATGGCCACTAACTATGCCACTAGGAATCTGGAGCTGCTGACCCCCCAGAACCAGGAGTTTCTACTTCTGTGACACACGCCCCCTCCTGGCTGGACAGTCAGACACTTGCCAGCACTGGACCAGGCCCCAGCAGGTCCCAGGACAGGCTCCATACTCTCACCCCGTGAAGCCTCACCCTGAACGCCCTGCCCCCCCGCAGCCCGGCAACAGCTCTCCCTGCCCTAAAGCCCTCCTGGAGCAGAGTCTTTTGTTCCTTTAACAACACATCCATTCGAGGCCTACTTATGGGACCCCTGTGACACGCTGGGCTTCACGCAGGGTGCCGAACGGTGACGCAGCAGACAGGCCCGACCGACCCCACGGAGCTCCCCGACTCCCCCTCAAAGTCTCCAGGAAGTGGCCTCTGACCCGGCAGCCTGGACAAGTTTCTCTGCCTTCAGGCACAGGACAGCCTGAGGGGGAAACGAGGAGGAGGCAGGGGCCATACTCCTGCCTTTTCTGGTCCAGCCCCACACATCAGGGGCTCTGGAAAGGGCATCTCTCCTCTGCCGACATGGGCCCAGTGAGCAACTTCCTGCTTACTCATGGGGTGGTCATACACCACCCTGCCCACCCTCCAAACCGGGCCACATACTCTGGAAGCTCCTCAGAGCCAGAGCCTCGATAATGACACAAGACACCTGTCACCACCTCTGCTGGGCTTTCCTGACAACCAAGTTCACAGCTGAGGGGGAAGTGGGGGGTGGGGGGGCGCACCCATGCGGGGGCAGAGCAGCGCTGGCCAAGGAGTTCAGGCCGGCTGCTCCCCAGGGAGGGGGGCACTCACCCCGCTTGGGCTTGGGGAAGCTGTCGTGCAGCCGGAAGACCACCTTCTCCACGAAGTGCTGGATCTCGCACTGCTCGGGGCCGCGGACGAACACCATCCAGTCATGCGTGAACCCCTCCGTGGTGGGCTTCTTGCGCAGCTGGGCGCGGTGTCCCAGCTCTAACTTGACCTGGACAGTGCACTGCGGGTAGAGAGGCAGGCGCAGGGTCAGCGCAGAGCCCAGGGCCCTGGGATGTGGGCCGCCCCCTCCATCCATCCCCCACCCTACCCCAGGTGGCATACAGAGCCCAAAAGTGAAGGGACTCGGGAGGCTCCAATTACAGGGGGTGGGGAGCAAGTGTTTGCTCTACATGCTTTCTCTCCCCAGCAAGCCCACCCGGGGTCCTGCATCTCCACCCCAGTCACCCCAGGACCCAGGCACCTGCAGCCTCCTCTCCCCCAGGCTCTGCACAACTGGCTGGCTCCTCTCACTGAGGTCTCAGCTTGACAGCTGCTTCCTCAGGGAAGCCTTCCCTGACCACCCAGTCTGAAAGCACCCACTCCCACCCCCACAGCTCTTCAGACCACGTGGTCCTCTCAGCACCCTCCACCATCAGAAACCACTTGCTAGTGGCTTGCCTGGTCTGCTCTTAGGTTGGCATCCTGTCTGGGGCAGTAACCCTCACCAAGATCTCCCGAAAAAAGAACAGTGTGACCCGAGAGGGAGGGGCTGGTGCCAGGACCAGAGGGTACCAAGATCCACTGATGCTCAAGCCCCTTGCATAAAAAGGCTTAGCACTTACAAGTGACCTACGGACATCCTCCTACAGACTTTACATCATCTCTGGGTTACTTATAATACCTTGTACAACATAGATGCTATGCAAACAGTTGTAAATACAGGTAAGTGCTATGTCAACAGTGCCAGGGTCCAGCAAATTCAAGTTTTACTTTTTGGCACCTTCTGTAACTTTTTTCCCCAAATATTTTCGCTTCACAACTGACTGAATACACGGATGCGGAACACACCAACCTGAAGGGTGGGCTGTACCTCACTCTACAAGTGAGGCAACCAAGGCTCTGAGACTGAGCTGCTACGTGGCCATGAGAGATGGCTCTGCTATATGGAGATTCAGGCCTGTGTGTGTGGGTCACCCGAGGGCCACTCTGCTGTCCTGACCAACCCACACCAGTCCTTGATTAAAGCCCTGTTGTCATCCATCATCCCACAGAGTGCCTCCAGAGAACAGAGACCCTGAGGGTCACCTGAGTCACCCACACCAACGATGGTTTGCAGTGAGAATGGGGGGGTGGGGCAAGAACGAAGCCACCTGGGACAGGTGCAGGTGGACCATGGCCTAGGCAGCCAGACTCCCCTCCTTGCACACGTGTTGGCCCCTCCCCCCTAAGTGAGCAGCCCCCACACTTCACAAATTCTGGAGCGCCCATGGGGACCCACTGCACACACCCCTCTGGCCTGGAAAACCCTCCCCAAACTTCGTTCACACAGAGCCTGACACCTAGTATCAAAATCAAGAACATTACAAAGAAGGCGGAGGCCAAGTGGACACTTGCTTCTAAGTGCCAAGATAACCAAGGGCACGTGGGCCGCCAGATCCCACACATCCTGGAGACTCCCCCGCCGGGCTCGCCAGCCGGGGCCTGGACCAGAAGCCTCTCTCTGCGTCCTCCGCCCTCTTTCTACTACCAGACCCCGAGCACCCCCAGGGGCCACAGCCCCTCTGGTGCCTGCCTCTTTTACCCATTTAGACCCCGCCACCAACATCCTCCTGCTCTTCCCCCCCTCCTCCGCCTGCTCGGTCACTGCCTGGGACACAGGGCTCACCCTTCGCAGTCTGAGTCAAGTCCATAAGCCTCAGCACACCTCCTGCCTGCGTTTCCCCAAGTCTGGGATGCTCCTAATTCACCACGTTTTCGCCTGACTCAGAGAGAGGATGCTGCAGAGCTGTGCACGCGCACATACCTGCACTCACTCACAAGCAGCTGCTGCTAAGCTCTGGACACACCTTAGGGGCTGTGAACCAAGGATGCATGGGGAACACACACACCCTGCTTCCCCATTTTGTCAGGCACCAGCCATTCCCAAACACACCAGGCATGTGTGCTCCTTCCTGGCTGTGAGCCCACAACCGGGGAGCCCTCACTCACTTCTCTGCAGACTGAACTTACACTCATCCCTGAAGCCCTGGCTCAGGGCTGCTCTCTCCAGAGCCCTATCTGATCGGTCCCCACACTGGAAACCAAGCAGGCCCTGGTCTCCACAACCGTCCGCAAACAGCCAGCTCCTTGGTGTGCTTCACCCCGACCCTGCCCGAGCACCCTCAGCTGTCTCCAGTTACCCTCCATCCTGGAACCACACTGCTCAAGGTGTCAACCACACAGGATTAAACAAGAGAGGCTTCCTAAATCAAGGAGTTCTAAGCGGCACATTCTGGGGGGAAGGGCCACGGTGACGGTTGAGTATAGGGTGGTCTCCACGTGCGGAATGGTGGGAGGCTGTGGGTGCTGAGTGAGCTGTAAAAACGGCAGGAGCCCCTACCCTGCTGGCAGGACCACAGCCCCGGGGCGCTGCTCGGAAACAGAGCAGAGAGACCCCCCACCAGGGCAGGCCCACTGGTAGGAGGGGTGGGGATCCAGATGGAGTATTTCAATTTAACACAAGAGAAGCAACCGCCAGCTACACACAGGTGATGGAGTCAGGGAAACAGCACTGAGTGAGAAGTACCCTGGGCAACTGTGTATGGTCTGGGCTGAAGGCAGACTAGGACAGACAGACCACAAGCCTGCTGGGAGGCAGCTGGAAGGAGTGGCTAGAAGAGGAGCTTGAAACAAGGGAGCTGGGAGGACCTGCGGGTGGATGGAGGAAAGACAGGAGACCCTGGGCAGCTGGGAGGTTGTGATGCCCGTGGAGCCAGGCTCAGCAGAGCAGTGGCGGGGGGATGGGGACATTCGAAGGGAAATACCCCACCAAAAGCTGGAGGAAAGGACTGGACGCTGGATAAACAAGTCATGCTCAAATCAGCCACAAGCTTCTATTCGCAGAGCACTGCTTATGGGCAACGTTCAAGATAAACATCCCGATGATGTTTACATGGTCCCAAATAGGCCATAATCACCCCCCACACCCATACTGACTGTGTAACATACTCTGCTTCACACACCCTATACACAAGTGTGTAACACACTCCACGTTTCTCTCCAACCTGTTCTAACGCTGAGGAGTCAGGAGACAATCCCTGAACTGTGGGCAAGGTTCCAGGTGGGAAGCCAGATCATGATGACGAGACCCTGGGAACAGCTTCTGGTACTTTAGAATTAAATCCCAGGTCTGCTGTTCACTTGGCTGGAGATCCACAACCCTGCTCCCACCTCGGCCGCCCGCCTGGCATGTCTCATCACGTGGGGTTCCCACCCAGGGCACACCAGCAGGCAGCCAAGCCGTGATTGTGAAAGAAGGGAAGACCACAGCTCCATGCGAGGGGGAAGATGGGAGTGCCAGAAAGTCGCGCCACAGGCCAAAGTAAACAGGGAGGTTCTGAAGCGCAGTGGGTAATCTTTGCTGCCGACAGGCCATGCCCAAAGCCCCGCCTGGGCCCAGGCAGCATCTCTGCCCTCGGGGGCTGGCGCCAGCTCAGCCTCAACAACCCCAGACCCCAGGGGCCGAGGACCATGCCATGCACCGCTGCACCCAGGAGAGGGGATCTCCTTCAAGTGCTGGAATCTTCTGAGAAGTAAAGATGGTGGAATCACACAGATCTGGGGACACGATATGAGGGAAAAAAACACTGAATCAGTGAGACGCTCAGGCTACGCTGAAGCAGAGGCAGGCTAAGCTAAGCCCCCGCCAGCTACTCCAGCTCAGCGAGTCTCAGTGATTTATTACCTGCTCTGCCCCTCCCTCCCAACTCCACCTGGGCTCCTTCCCCGTTCAACAGAACCAAGCAACTGAAGCAGACCCTCAGCCTCTGCTCCAGGAAGGGTGTCCGCTGGAGAGGTTCGCTGCCACCAGGTTAACAAGCCTGTGCTGCCCCAAATGATGCCTCTCACCTGCCACTTGGCTGCTGGGAGATGGCAGAGCCTGCGAGGGCGGGCCTCGGTCACTGCCTTGGTTCAGCATCTCATCTGGGGGTTACTTCACCACCCCCTCCTCCAACAAAAGCCCAGAACAAAGGGGCACATTCCAACCCTGTCCCGGAAGGGGTTAACAGAATTCTACCTCTGGGAAAACCTCCTTAAACCTGAGCGGAACGAGGGCTCCCAGGGCCATCTGGGGACAGTTAAGCTTGGGCTGAGGGCCTCCGCCGGGCGCTACCCTCACTCCAGGCCAACTGGCAGTAGGCACTTGGAACCCCACGGCCAGAATCCTAAGTCCTGCAAAGCAGGCCAACGGCTCGGCTGGCCCAGATCCCTCCAGGTGTGGACCAGGAGGCCTTGCCAGCCTGGGGCCCACAGTTCCTCTCGCCTCACAGCCCTTGCTCCCCCAGGTCCTTCCTGAAGCCCTCAAACCCAGAACCCAGCCAGCCACCCAGCCCCAAAAGGCAGGTCTTCGACACCGAGTGTCTCTAAGATTTCCCCGGCTCTTCTGGTGGGAATTCTCTTCAGCAGACACCCTTCCCTCTGGGAATTCGCACTTTACCAAGTGGCCTAGTTATGCCTGAAGTCTGGCGGCTGCTGTGAAATCCCTCGGATGCACAATCTCCTCCCCTCCCAGGGGAAGGAATCACTGAGGGACCCCTCACTGGCCTGAAATGATTCTGCCAAGTCTGACGGGACCCAGCAGGGTCACTGGCCATGTGGTCCACACACAGCCATAAAGGGGGATGGGAGGGGGCGGGGTACGGGCCTCACGGAACCATAGCCACACAAATCCAAAGAAAATGCTCTTCACACAACTTTCTCCTTGGGGGCCCTGCGGGGGCTCCTGGAGCAGCTACTGAATCAGAGTTGGCTCCAGCTGTCCCTCCCTCTGTGTCAATCCTCTCAAGCAGGGACCACCTGCCCAGAGGTGGGGACTTCTCACAAAAGCCACAGGAGGGCCTGGGCCTCTGACCACTGGCCCACAGAGGGCTGGTGGCCGCCCCTGCACCCTCTTCTGGTTCTGACCAGCCTCAGTCCTGGGGCACAAGGTTAAGGACAAAGTGACAAGAAAGGACTCAATGAATGTGTCTCGCGACACTAAGGATAAGCAAGCAGACCACTATTATGCATGCTAAGTTACTTTAGTCGTGTCGGACTCTTTGCGATCCTATGGACCATAGCCCAGCAGGCTCCTCTGTCCAAAGGATTCTCTAGGCAAGAATACTGGAGTGGGTTGCCATGCCCTTCTCCAGGGGGATCTTCCCGGCTGACCCAGGGATCGAACCCATATCTCTTATATCGCCTGCATTGGAGGCAATTCGTTATCACTAGGGCCACCTGTGCAGACCATGGGGATAAGCAAATACACCCATGATCCTCAGGGTTGTCAGGGGGCTGAGCAGCCTGACCTCCAGCAGCCCAGCTGGGAGGCCTGGCACCAGATATATTAATACTTTAAATTTGTAGGGAACGCCCACTGACATGCAGACAATATGCTGGTTGACCCCAAAGTTCTCCAGGGAACAGTCTTGGGAGATTCTGAACATGAACAACTGGATGAAGGCATCTATTCCAGGGCCGGTGGACCTGGTGACAAAGGGAGTGGTTCCTAGCCCCTTTTATTAAGCTGACAGTTGGTAAAGCTAAGTGCAAAACTTCACATTACAAACTGTGGGGGACATGAAGGGGAGTTGTGAGGCTCTGGCCCCTGCTCTCAAGCGCGTTACAACACAGCTTTAAAGGCTGGCAGGCCAATCTGCCAGGTGACAGCTTCAGAGCCGGGTTGGGAAGGACTCTTGCACCCTCTCGTTAGCACTCTGCCAGGTCCCAAGGTTCTCTGGAAAAGGTCTGGCAAAACAGCGAGAGATCCCCAAGCACGCCCCCAGCCTCGACTCTTCCTCTGTAACACGGGCCGTCCTCCATCGTGAGAAACACACCTCCCTTCCAGAGCAGCAGAGCATGGTCACAGAAAGCTGTTCCCAAGTCCAGGCTTAGCAGACAAAGCGTCATCGAGCGTCAGTTCAACCTGTGGTTCAGTGGGTCAGCTGCCCACTTCGGCAGCCAGGTCTGACATTTCTGCAAAGGGAGGAACCCCTGGGCCTTTGGGGAGCAAAACCCCCAGACACTGACACCACTTCTAGCTCCCTAAGCAGCCCCCAGCCCCCCAGCAAACTTTCCCACCTTTTCAGCATCTGCTCAGTCTGTAGTCAGGCCCATTCCTTGCCCACCATCTTTGTAGATCATATGCCTGCTAGCCATGACCCCTAAGAAAGCAAAGACTTGCCCCCCAAAATACATCACCACATTCCCTCTAAAAAAATACACATCCTGAGATTTCCCTGGTGGCCAGTAGTTAAGACTCTGCACTCCCACTGCAGGAGGCACAAGTCTGATCTCTGGTCAGGGAACTAAGATGGACTTCCCAGGTGATGAGGTGGTAAAGAATCTGCCTGCCAATGCAGGGGATGCAAGATACGGGTTTAATCCCTGTGTTGAGAAGATCTCCTAGAGGAGGAAATGGCTACCCACTCCAGTATTCTTGCCTGGATGACCCCAAGGACAGAGGAGCCTGACGGGCTGCAGTCCATAGGGTCGTAAGAGTCGGACACGACTTACCCACCGAGCACGCAGGCACAGCGCACTGAGATCCCAAGAGCCGCACAGCCCAAAAGGAAAACCCACCATCACATCCCAAAGGAAACAGACGAGCAATGACAGACTAGAGGTTGGAGGGATCAGACAGTTGGGTGTACGGTCAGGGCAAAGGGAACTGGAATGACTTTTCTCTGGGAGCCCAGAGCCAAATGCAGAACCCCCTCTTTTCTCAGCTGGGCCAGAAAGTTCTAGAGAACACACCAGGAAGGCCAAGAGAACCAAAACCTCCCAAAGCGAGAGGCCTGGGGGAGAGACCCGCTGTTCCCTATCACACTGAGGCCTTCACAGGTGTGGGGCGTCCCAGGGGAGGCAGAGAAGGCCGGCTCTGCTGGATTCAAAGGGTCCCGACCCCCACCCCACCCCCAGATCCCGTACCTGAAGTCCTCCTGGACGGCTTACAGCTGGCTCACCCACTCAGATCGATAAGGGACACCATTCTCTCCTGCCTCCCCTGGGGCCGTAAGGAAGGGACAGGACTCAGAGCTGGGGCCTCTCCCTCCCACATTTGCATGAGAACACAGCCCAGACGAAGAACTGGACTGGGGTGGCATGCACCTTCCTCTGGGGCCAGTTTCACTTGCACTTGCATGCGCAAAGATCCTGAGCAGCGCTGTCCAGTGGAACCTCCTGCCATGGAGGAAAGGGCACCTCTTCACACCGCCCAACAAGGCGGCTGGAACCTCAGGAGTGGTGGTTCCTGAACACCTAAGACACGGCTCATGCAACGGAAGAACCGACTTTTTCACTCTGGTTCAAGTTTGAATCACAACTGCCAGCAACTGTCACACCAATGGTGGGATGGCACTCTTTGGTCCAGGCGGCTCACCTGCCCCCCGAGCAGGACTGTCTCCCTGCATTGCCAGCCCAGAACGCTGCCCTGTCTCACTCACAGAGACAACCACAGCTTGCCAGGGCCCCCCACCACATCACAAGGTGAATGGACGCCCATGGGCCTGAAATGTCTCCCTGAGGGCCCAGTGGGGTAAGGGGCAGAAGTCCTGCTCTGCACCTGCGGGTTGTCCAGCAAGACTTTCCCAGGGTCCAGCTGCCTTAACAGTGGACACTGAAGGTCTATTTTGTTTCCTAACTCAATAAAGATCGGAGGCCTCGAGCTCGGTCCCTTCAAGGGAAATGAACTCACCCCACCCTGCAGAAATCCCCATTCAGCTGTCATAAACTATGCCTCACCTCTTGAGAGAAAGGTACAGCATCAAGGCTGAAGTGAAATTGCAGTGAGAGGGTGCCCCAAGCACAGGACTCAGTGATTCTGGGCCACCAGGCGGCCAGGATGGGCAGCGGGGCATGCCTCCTGCACCCCCACCCCTGAAACCCAACTGCCACACAGCGCCTCACCAGCCAGAGCCGCCTGAGTGGCGCCGGCAGCCAGGGACGCCCCAACCTGCCCTCACTAAAAGCGGGGAATTCAGCTTCCACCCCCACAGCCCCACACCGCCTTTCCTGGCCTCGCGCCCCGGGAAGCCAGGGGCAGCAGATGAGGGTGAAGAGAGAGTTGATCCTATGTAGGGAGCTGCAATGGTCCCTGGCTTGAGTTTACTGAAACTGACTCTGGGTTGCCAGACCAAAGGGAGAGGGTCCGTGGGGAGTCTGGGGGGCTGGGGAACACCCTGGGTTTGCAGCAAGTCTCTGGGTGGAGGCTCCAAGATGCTGGGGGAAGGCAGGGAACATGGGGGTATACAGGGGCTGGGCGGAGGACAGTGGGTCAAAGTCACAGCACCAGACTAGGGGATGTTGGAAGGAAGTGGGTGACCATGAACATCAGGAAAGAGACAAGGGGGTCTCTGCAAGGAGGATAGCTGTGATTCCAGGAACCAGATTTAGCTCTGGATTGGGGGGCTGGGGGGCAATGTGGGGCAGCGTCAGGGTCACAGGGGCAAAGAAGTGAGGGGAGTGAGGCATCTGGTATGTGAAGGGTGTGGGGGCTCCAGATCAGAGCAGAAATGGTCCCTGGATCTGGTCAAAGAGGGTCTGAAGGTGAAGAAACAGCCCTTTGGGTCCCTGGAACCCGAAGGAGAGTGATCAGAGCAGAGGGGGCTGAGGAAGCCGGCCCAGATCCGAAACGAAGGATGTTCAAGGTAGGCCGGGGTCCTGGTGAGAAAAGGCCTGGGACCTCGCCAGCGTTTGAGGAGAGGGCTGAGGCTCAGTTGGGGCTGAGGCAGGGGCAGGATCAGAGGGGAGAGAGGTTAGGCTGGGCCTGGGTTCAAAGGAGGAGGCTGCAGACCAGGAGTTCCGGGGGGACTCAACCCCCAGCAAAGGTTTAATGTGGAGAACAGACAGAGCGTGAGGGGAAGCAGGGCCAAGGGGCCAGAGCAGGCAGGAGACACCAACTGCCCTGGATTCAGAGAGGAAAGGGGGTACAGGTCGGATCAAAGGACTCTAAAGGGACCCCGGGGGTGGCTGTGGAGAGTCATGATTGGGCCAGAGTCCGGAGGGATGTCCCGGGGGGCTCTTGGTCGGACTGGGGTCGCAAGGAGAGTCCCAGAGTAATTCAGGCCAGGCTGGGGTTCCGAGGAGGGTCCCAGAGGATCTGGGTTGTAGTGGGGTCACAAGACGTGTCCCACGGGGATCTGGGCCGGACCGGGGTTGCGAGGGCCATCCCAGGGGGCTCTGGGCAGCGAGGGACCGAGATTCCCAGGGGAGTCTGAGGCGTTGTAACCCGGCGGGGGTCGCGGATGGGGGAGGGGCGCCCCCGCCCCACATAAAGGCCCGGGAGAGCGGTGGGCGCGCACAAAGCGGGGCGGGCGGGCGCCGAGCCGGAGCGGAGAGGCCGGGACCGAGGAGGGCCGGGCCGGGCGGGCGGGTAAAGGAGGGAAGGAGGGAGGGAGAGAGGGGGCTCGGCGGGCGGCGCGGGCTGCGCTGGGGCGGCGCGGCCGTTCCTCACCTGATTGTCCATGGCTGGCGCCCCGCCCCGCCCCCGGGCCCCGCGTCGCTCGCCGCCGCAGCCGCCGCTCAGCGCCGCCCCGCCGCCCTCATTGTCTGTCAGGCGCCGCCGCCGCCGCTCCCGGCCGCCCGCCCGCCCGCCAGCCCCGCGGAACCGGAAACCGCCGCCAGCCCGGGTCGCGCACCGACCGCGGGCCCCCGCCACCGACTCGGGCCAGCCGCCCGGACTGACAGACGTCTGGGCCAATCGACGATAGGGGCAGCCACTCGTGGGGTGGGACTTCCGGCCTGGTGGGGGCCTGCCGGGCTGCGGTCCGAGGGACGAAGCCCGCAGCCAATGGGAGGCCCGGACCGGAGGGGCGGGAGGAGGGAGGGAGGGAGGCGCGAGGCTAGCCCAGCAGAAGGGAGCGCGAGGTGTGCGCAGCACGTGGAGGGGGGCGGGGGCGGGACGAGCGTGCCGCGCCTGCGCACTGTAGTCCGCAGGGGGCGCTACCCGTTGGCCTGAGCATCCCTGGGGCCCGAGCCTCCCCGGGCCCGAGCTGAGCTGGCGGTTGGAACGCTGGAGAGGCATCCCCTGGGACATTTTTGTTTCCTAGCCACGTGTTGCTACTGTGTGATGGAATGAGCCCTGGGCTCTGGAACTACAGATTAATTTTACAATCCTGGATCTCTATTATGGTTCACTCCCTTTCTCCCCTGAGGGTCAGTTTGCATCAGTAAAATGGGGACTATCACAGTACCTTTTGATGATAGTTCATGCTAGTCTGAATGATACAAATCTGATACCGGCTACATTGACATAACCAAGACATTCTCAATTTATTCCCGAAAATTATCATGACAATCCCTCCAAAAACCGATTTTTAATTTACCCATGAATATATACCTTCACTGTGACTTGTAAACTGTGTTTAGATCGGACGTAAACGTATCGCCCCATCTTTTTCATGATCTTGTAAGCCACTTTTCTTGTGGACATTAGGACTTCTGCCTGCGATTTGGGGCCCCTTGTGCAATTATTTTAAATTCCTTCTATAAGATTAAAAATCGGGGTTTTTTGGTTTGTTTGGGTACCCCCCACATTTCTCATTTAAGTGTCAGGCTCAGTGGTAAAAATTAAAAAATCCGCCTGCTAATGTAAGGAGACGCAGGAGACGTGTGTTCCCTCCCTGAGTCGGGAAGATCCCCTCGGGGAGGAAATGGCTACCCACTCTAGTATTCTTGGCTGAGGAATCCCATGGACAGAGGAGCCTGGCGGGCTTCAGTCCACAGGGTCGCAAAAAGTCGGAGGCAACTGAGCATGCTCGCAAAATATTAATTAGGTTGTGTGGCCGGTGCTTTGCAATGAAGAACAACGTCGGAAAATCAGTTACTTTGGAATTAAAAGAAGCCCAGACAAGAATTGCTAAGAGTCAGTGTCATAGTACATAGTAACACTATACTTTTAAACCTAGGGCAGGGCCACCTGGGTTTTTTTTTGGGGGGGGGAGGTTGGAGGTCATACTGAGAAAATAAGCAACAATAATGCTAAACAATGATGCCAACCAATAATAATGTTATTAATAAAAGGATGCCAGAAAAAAAACAACACTGTTTTGAAACCCCTAATGAGCTAATCATTGCAGATGACAGTCGACCATTAACTGAAAAGTCCGTGGAGACTGGAGACTATAACATCATGTCCACCATGACCTCTTGACAGATTGCCTGCTAGATGCAGAGGGAAAAAATTGATGTTCCCATGGAAGCATCATATTGTTGCCAGCTTAGTTCGGTGACCACTTTTAGCAGCAGAGCAGTGGGATAAACAGATGATGAACTCCTGCTAGGGTGCAGTGGGCGGTACACCACACCAAAAAAGAAGTTATTCTTGCCCCAAATACTTAATTTGAATCATACCTTTAGTTCCAGTTTACAAAGGAAACACGCAGGGTAGGTGATCATGGGAGGTGACACCATGAGAAGAAATCAGGCAAGGAATTTCCCTGGTGGTCCAGTGGTTAAGACTCCAGGCTTTCACTGCAGCGGGGTGTGAGTTCAACCCCTGGTTGGGGGTACTAATGTCCCCAGATGTCACACATGGTGCAGTGAAAAAAATAGAAAACAAAGGAAGAAGCAGCAACAATCGAACAAATTCAGAAGGTGAAACTCTCAAGTCTGGGAGAAAAGACGAGAACCATTCAGAATTCAAAGAGGTGGTGTCACAACCAAATGCAATGTAAGGTCCTTCATTGGATCTTAGCTTTGAACAAACCAGCTGTGTCACTGGGGAAATTTGAACTTGAATTGGATTATATTTCAACTTGTAATTGGTTAGGTGTGATCATGGAATTACAGTTGTGTAGAAAAATTCTTTACTTTTTAAAGCTGCACAGGGCTAAAATGCCACAAGGCTAATTGCCTTTAAAACACATTAATTTAAAAACTAAAAAAAATTAAAAAATTAAAACTAGATGAAAATATGGCAGATGTTAAGAACTGTTCGATCTAAGTGATGGGCATATAGGATTTCGTCAAACTGATCTCTATACTTTTCTGTATATGGGAAGCTTATATAATGAAAAGTAAATATGTTGGGACCTCCCTGGTGGTCTAGTGGTTAAGAGTCACCTTCCAGTGTAGGGGACACAAGTTTGATCATTGGTTGGGGGAACTAAGATCCCATATGCTGAGGAGCAACTTAAAGCCCTTGTGCCACAAGCCCGTGCTCGGAAACAAGTGAAACCAGTGCAACAAGAACCCCATGCACTGCAATTAGAGGGTAGCCCCCACTCACCACAACTAGAGAAAGCCCACTTGAAGCAACAATGACCCACAGCAGGCAAAAATTAATTAATTAATTCAAAGTTAGAATAGTAAAGTAATTTTAAAATGTAAATATGTTGAATTCCCTGCTGGTCCAGTAGTTAGAATTTCATGCTCTCACTGCCAAGGGCCTGTGTTCAATCCCTGGTACAGGAATTAGATCCCACAAGTTGCACAGCCCAGTCAAGTGTGGTCAAAAAAAAAAAAAGCATCCATTGCCTAAAACTGAACAACTGTTTTCCTTCCTTGAGGAGGTAAGCAGAGCACTGCTCCATTTTCTCATTAGTATGGCCGTATCCTGGCCAACGCCTGCTGTCTACAAGCTCCAGAGGATGAATTTTAAACTCATTTAATCATCGCAATATGAAGAGGTAGGTGTCGTTGCCCCCATTTTACAGGAAAGGAAACTGGAGCTCAGATGAGGTTATTGCATTGTCCAATGTCCCATGTCCAGTATATGCCAGAGCCAGGGACCCACGTAGAGTCCAGAGCTACATATCGGCCACCTGTGTCTTAGTGCCTGCTTAGTAGGCGGGCACTACCAGCAGCCTCCCCAACGAGAGCATCTCTACATGTTTCCTGAGTAAGGAAATCAAAGAAGACTTCCTGGTAGGGAGGGAGTAGGATTGAGACTGAGACTTGAATGGCATTGAAGGTGAACACTTGATTTCTTTCAGAGGAGGGTACAATGTTTAGATATTGCTACAAGCTGCTGAAGCCAAACCTCCAATACTTTGGCCACCTGATGCAAAGAGCTGAAGCACTGGAAAAGACCCTGATGCTGGGAAAGATTGCAGGCAAAAGGAGAAGAGGACAGCAGAGGATGAGATGGTTAGATAGCATCATCAACTCAATGGACATGAATTTGAGCAAACTCCAGGAGATAGTGGAGGACAGAGGAGCCTGGTGTGCTACAGTTCAAGTGATCACAAAAAGTCAGACACAAACTCAGCAAATCAGCAACAACAACCAAGTTAGAAGTTGGCATTGTACACAAAGTTGCTCTGGTTGTCATCTGCCGTATAAAAAACCACCCTAAACTGAGTGACTTGGAACAACACTAAGCATTTATTGTTGGGACCCAGTCACCTTCAGAGATTTTGGTTTCATTCACTTGAAGTAAGAAAGGGCCAGGTCGCCCATCCCCCCTTTTGGAAATTCAGCTGGGGATTCTCTTGTGCAGACTGGGTCAAGAATTACTGAGTTGCAGTTAATAACACTTCTGTTGTTATTGTATCTAATTTTTATGATTATTTTTGATCTGTGACAAAGGACTTCTGAAGTGACACATTGTTTCCTGTCTACATCAGTGTGCCTGAAGGGAGTAGATTTAAAGAAAAACTTAAAGCAAATAGTAATTTGAGCAGAATGCATGATTGATAACCCAATGGTGCAGTGAATCAAGAATCCACTTGCAATGTAGGAGACACAGGAGACTCACGTTTGATCCCTTGGTCGGGAAGATCCCCTGGAGAAGGGCATGGCAACCCATTTCAGTATTCTTGCCTGAAAAATCCCATGGACAGAGGAGCCTGGCAGGCTACAGTCCATAGGGTCACAGAGATTCAGATACAACTGAGAAACTACGAATGCGTGCATGATTGACACACATTATCCAGATGTTACAAGCATCTGCAATTTGGGCAAGGCTTGGCAGAAACGGCTTATCTCTGCCCCTCATGATGTGAACTCACTAAGGCTGAATGAAGAACCTCTCCAACACAACTCACTCATAAGCCAGGAAGATGGTGCCAGCTGTTGGTTCTTCTCCACGTGGGCTCCTGCACATGGTGGCTTGGGATTCCTTGCAGCATGGTGGTGGCTGGGTCCCAAGAATGGGTATCCCCCCCAAAATAACAGACAGCTGCATTGCCTTGCATGAACTAGCCTCAGAAGTCACATGGAGTCACTTCCGCCATACTCTAAGCCCACCCACATTCAAAGGCTCCTTCATGGGACTTCCCTGCTGGTCCAGTGGCTAAGGCTCCACGCTCCCAATGCAGGGGGCCCAGGTTCAATCCCTGGTCAGGAAACTAGATCCTATTGCTGCAACAAAAGAATTTGCATGCCACAACTAAAGATCCCACATGCTGCAACGAAGATCAAAATATCCCATGTGCTGCAAGTAAGACCTGGTGTAGCCAAATAAATAAAAATAAGTGCTTAAAAAAAAAAAAAAAACTTTAAAAAGGACTCCATAGAGGAGCGTAAAGATTATGGGTATAGTCGAGAGGGTTGAAAAGAGACACGACTGAAGTGACTTAGTACTTAGCACTTAGCACTGGGATAGTTGACTTACAGTATTAGTTTCAGATGTATAACATAATGATTCAATATTTTTATAGATTATACTCCATATAAGATTATGATAAAATATTGGCTATATTCTCTGTGCTATATATTACATCCTTGTAACTTTTTTTTACATCTAGTAGCTTGTACCTCTTAATCCCCTTCACCTATTTTGGCTCTCCTCACCTTTCTTCTGGTAACCACCAGTTTTTTATCTGTATCTCTGCCCTCTTCCAACATGTCTTTAAAATCAGCTGGGTAAACAACAAGCTCCTATTGTATAGTACAGAGAACTATATACAATATCTTGTGATAAGCCATAATGGAAAACAATTTTTTAAAGAATGTATATATATATATATATATGTATATATATATGTATATATATATGTATGTATGTATGTATGTTAATCTGAATCATTTTTATATAGCAAAAACTAATACATTATAAATCACCTATAATTCAATTAAAATTTTTTAAAAATC